CTTGGCTTGTGGGCTCAAAAGTTGAACCATCGGCTGTAATTCGACTCAGCTTAGAAGAAAGGAGCTGAAGAAGCTGTGAAACACACGTAGAGGTACCTTCCTGTTACAGCCTCCATTACGAGTTGACTTAGGAGATAGAGCGGGTCCGCAAGGCCGCTATCATTCACCGTGACACCTTAAGGTGGTAGCAGCTCTGCGCGTCCACTCTCTCTCCGCCGTCAACTCTTACCGCGATTTCGGAACTAGGAGGTAATCCTTCACATCGGTGAAACAAATGGGACCAGTCGAGTCCCATCATTGAAGGATTATGCTGCTACGCAGGGACGAGTCAAGGGCGGGCTAGAGCCAAGCAGCCGGCCGCTTAGGCAGCGTTCAAACTTCGCGATATGCGCGTTGACGCGCTGCGAGGTGCTGCAACGCGCATCATAATGCTGCGATTTCAACAGAGCTCCAAAGCTGTCTAAGCGATTGCATCCGCAGACAGCCAGTGCCAATCGATACCATTCTGCATGACTGAGCGATATGTCCCACCCTACTTCTTCATACTTTTCCAGAACACGAGCGGCCCATCGATCGATCGGCGTCCGACGTCTGCAGCTGCGTTCGCGTCTATGGCCTCGAAGCGCGGTGCAGCGCGTCACGGTGTGTCATCGCGAAGTCTGAAGCTGCCTTACTTGAAAGGGAAGGAGATCAGTCACAACCCCACGCAGCATTCGTATGTGTATGGGTGTGGTTCAGGATATCCAAGGTGTACAGTCTTTCTAGCTTGTTGACTCCATTTAGAACTTGCGCGCTACGTTAACCAGGTCATAACAGTCCACGTCCCGAACTGTTTAACTTTTTTCCTAGTTTACGCGCGATCCAACGTCTCGGGTGTTCTTAACTACTCCTTCATAACTACATGTTCAGCTCATAGCCATTGACATCTGGAATGAAATGGGTTTCTGGCCATCTCAAGCTCCACATTGTTACTTTGGTTGGAGCTAAATTCCACCCCATGAACGGCTGCGGCTTCCCGTGCATTGAAACTCCTAGTTCTCAGGTGATCGCAAAATGTGCCTGAAAAGTTGATGGTAGTCCTTTTCACTCAGCCCGTATTATCCAAAACAAAATGAATGTCAGGGTAGGCTGATCCAGGTAAGATTCGACCTCGTCGGTTGGAAAGTAGCAAAATGTTTTGCGTCCTTATACCACTGTAATATATACCACTATACTAATATACTCGACACTATACGGACGACAGTACCTATCCCTCGAGTCGAGAGCTTAGAAAATGATTTCCGTGACTGCTTGTCAATTGGCTCCTACCGCTTGAATACTAGTGGTGCAGGGAGAAAAAGCGCGGCTATCGCCTATACGACCGATGGATCGGATCCGGTGCTTTTTACCTCGCTATCTGTCGTTCCCGGGTCACGCGCTTGGTATCGACAATGAGCGTGCGGATAACGCGCTGACCACTAAGCAATGACGTGAGCTAGTTAGCAAAGGTGAACGGCTCGCTAGCGCAAGTCGCTTAGGTGCCTACTGTCCAAGGTTCGGGTCGTCGAGGCACGGCGCGTCCCAGTATGGCTTTGGATGAGCGCACTTTCAGAGGGTGGTGCGATCCCCATACACCCATGGACATGAGCAATCGTCGATAGCAGATAGCCGATAGCAGAACGCTCAATTCCTACAACTTTTTACATGAACTCATCAAAAACGTGGATGATAGATTCCCGAATCGCTCATCGTCGCTGAAACCACCCACCATTAAACGGCTATATTTTGCTTGGAAACAGCTTTGCCGCGGCTTTCTGAAAAAAAGATTCGGCTCAGCGATTGAGAGATAAAGGCGATTACAAATCGTGGGTGGTGGGGTCCAAATATGAACTCGTAGATAAAGGTAACCAAGGAGAAAAGGGACACGGCTCTGAATAAAACCCCAACACTAGAGAGGCTTCTGCGCGGAATGACACGCATCACATGTGATCATCACATCACACCTGTGTTTGTGGATATAGGATTAATGGCCAAGGGAAATCTTGTCGATGAGAAAAGGTGCAGAACACGACCCTCCTTCTCAAGTTTTCCTTCCCTAGTACTACTCCCTTCCTCATCCCCATCCTGCCTACCACCTAACGATTTTCCCACTTTTCTAACTAAAAAGCAGAGCGAGGGGAAATGGGTTCACAGCGCATTTCAAACAGGAAAAACAGGAATAGTCAATAAAAGAAAGCATTTTATTCGAAGGCATTACGGATTTCCTATCTATCAGGTAGCTATTCGCTGAATGTGTCTTCGGAGGTGCATTCCGCGTTCACACATGAGAATCGAAGCCCTTGAAAGGTAGTATGGATGGCGATGGACAATCTTGCATCAGTTCAAGGTAGGGGCGTTGAGGTGCACGGTCACTCCAGCGGCTCCTCCCAAACGCACGTCGCCCCGCCCCTCACTGACCGCTTCGAGGTCTTCTGTTTTGCTCGCTTCGAGGTTTTCCGTTTTGCTCGTTTGTGTGCTCTCTCGCTACTCTGGTTTATCTACCGAGATCCCATGGGGTCTTACCCCTTTGCGTCAAGCGACGAGGGCGAGAGTCGATGCACGGTGTCTCCCAGAAGAAGCATGTGAAGAGGGTTGGGTCTTGATGCGATTGATCCTTACGTCTCCACGCTTGCGCTTATGTCTCTCCGCTTGCATGCCTATTTCGCCAGGACTGGGAAGTAATTCACCACATCTAACAAGTAAGGCCTTATATGAAACAATCCAACGTTTGTGTGCTTTTTTCTTCCTGGGTAAGTCAAGTATCACATGATTTTCTGTTTTTCAACCCCGTGACCTCCGAAGTTTCCATCGACTTATCGTGGAAATGTGTCTTTAGGGCTGACTTTAGCTTACATACCTGATACGAAACGTAGAGTTCAACAGTGGCCGGTGCGTCCATCTCAACAACGATTGTGATGTTCCTAAAAAAGAAAATGGTTTTGGTATAGTAAAACATCGAGAGTGCTGCTATGACGAGACTCCGCCTATTTCACTCGTTTCTGCGTCTGAAGCGACACCCTTAAAACGCTGTTTTCCGCCGAACGACCGTTTTTAGGGGGGTAACGAGCGCTGCTTTATGCAACCGTACGTGTGTAAGCCATCCAATTAATATTATAATAACATTGATGTCAACTTTGTTCCGAGCGAGACAGACAACATTCCGTCAAGCAATTCTCGTGTTCGGTTACACTTGTGAAGTGGATTGCAAAGGACTTTTTGCAGGCCCGCTTAGACAGTTCACAGCCTTCCCGTATAAAAGACGCCGACTACGGCGTAAACGACTCGTCTCAGTGGGACTCGTCCGAAGTGAGTAATCGCCGCTTCTTCTTCTTCGGTCGTCGACGTTTACGTCGATCCACGATATCCGTCTCCCTATTCGTCCCTAGACATTCACTCTACTTACTACCTCCTTTCTAATGCAGATGTCCGACACGACTAAACTGATCGAAACTGAATCAGTTAGGAGGTTCGCCTTTCTGGGCGTCACCATCTCAACTGTCGCCACTCTTACTGCTATTATTGCTGTTCCAATGCTCTGTTTGTATATGCAACACATTCAATCAGGATTACAGGATGAGCTCAATTTTTGCCGTTCACGTGGAGAAAGTGTGAAAGCGGAGTTCCACAAGGCCAGTAAAATCTTATTTTGATTAGCTAAAAAGACATCTCTTGCCACCTTCCATCTGCTTGTTTTCCTCTGAAAGGAACTATTCTGTTTCAGCTTTCCTCCATTCGCCAAGCAGTACGGATTAGCCGTGAAAAACGTGCGTCAGACTCGTCGTGCTGCTCGTGCGGAACAGGGGCTCCAGGAGCGCCTGGAGCTCCAGGAGAAGACGGTGCTCCAGGGAAAGACGGAACTCCTGGTAATCCTGGCGCACCAGGAGCGGATGCACCACAAGGTGAAATCCATCCTAAACCAGAAGACTTCTGTTTTGACTGTGAACCGTCTCCGCCTGGACCCCCTGGACCACCAGGACTCAAGGGACCAGATGGAATGCCTGGAGCACCGGGTGAGCAAGGACCGGCAGGGCGACCTGGCCTACGAGGAGCACCTGGACCACAAGGGCCACCAGGAAATCCAGGAGAGGATGGACAGCCAGGTGCTCCTGGACAACCTGGTCAGGTTCGAACAGTACCATCCCCTCAAGGAGAACCTGGACCACCTGGAGAGCCTGGACCACAAGGACCACCCGGACCTGATGGTCATCCTGGAAATCCTGGACGAGCAGGAGCACCTGGACCTCAAGGAGATAACGGACCCGATGGACAACCAGGAAAGAATGGAGAAGATGGAGCACCTGGAGAACCAGGAAAGGATGGCACCCCCGGGTCATGCGATCATTGCCCAATTCCCCGAACAGCACCGGGCTACTAACTGTGAGAGTATTTTTTTTGAAATTAATGAAGCTACCTCCACGGTAGTAAGTCTCACTCCTGACGAGGCAATTTCTATTATTCTTTTGAAGCAATGCTCATTTCGTGTGAAGTTCCACTTATTCCTGTAAATGAAGGATGAAAATACCTTTTCAGAGAATCGTACTCATATCCGCATCGTAATTGATCTATTTGCCTTTCAAGGGTTTCAATTTGTTCTGTGTATTGATCCCATTCGCGTTGTCTACTTCTGAGCCTCGACTTCATCTCCGACACCTTTTCTCCTACAAAGTTACTTATACCATGCTTGATACATATGTGACGTTATACTGTATATTGTATAAACAATTCTTTGTCAACAACAAATGTCATCACAGTCTTGGTCAGGAACCGAGTGCATGGCGCACTCCAGAAAGGCTTCTCAGCGGAAAAATAATATTAAAATCGCTTCAACATTCTGGCCAACAAAGGCAAACGGATGGGGCATGCAGCGGAGCAAATATGCCGCGCCATTATAGCTTGCCTGCGCTCTCAATGAAGTAGTGACCAAATAGTTCTAGGGCGGTTTCCGCCAAGGTTTGTGCGGAAAAATCAGTTGCGAGTTGGATATGGCACATATATCTGTGCTTAGGCTTCAAAACGACATGGCAAGAGAGGAACCAAAGTCGGGGAGCAGGGGGGACCACACGGCTGCGTATCTGCACCACTTCTCTGAAAAGGCTCAAACTTATAGTTAGGGCGCAAGCGGTCAATGTGCCGAGGGACAGTCCCGCAGAAAGAGGCAAAGTCTCCACTCTGCCTCGCAAGACAGTCAGTTCGTCATAGTAGGCATAATAGGGCATAGTTGCACTAGCGCATGCCCCCTCCTCTCCCTCAACACTTTTGCCCTTTTCGAATAGCCCAACAATGGTGTTCCCCTCTGGGTGTAATACTGCATTTAGAGGTTTCCATTAGTTGCGTGGCTTGGAGCTGAAAGACGATTCCAGCGATCAAGTGTCACGGGTAGTAGGTGCTCAGTCATGTAGCAGTAGCCTATAAAAGATTCCTCAGTGGAGAGAGAAGCGAGAAAAAACCTCTGAACAAAGACCCCCCTCCTTAGCAAAGGGCGCCTTAGACGAGTTCGTCGGACGTCGGCAAGCTGAATCAGCAGGATTCGACGTGCAACCGATTCCCGGCAAGAGCACAGGAAATCACCCTACGACGCTCCAGGCAACGCTATGTACACACGCAATTCCGCTTGTAAGCCGTTGTCTTGCAGAGTGAAAGTAATCGTGGTTGCAATGGTTGCAATAATCACGCGTCTCTAGCTTCTTTATCTCGCCGTTTCAAGTGACGAAAGTGGTATATTCTCTGCGAATGCGGACAACGATGCCAAATGCACGGGAGGCATTTCGCGGACCACTTGATCGCACGAACTGTCTTTAAGGCGCAGAAGACTGGAATCGCCGAAGGATTACCCGCAGAGAGGCGCAGTCTCCGTTACGTCTGAGCCGTAATTGCACTGGTGCATGTACCCCCCGCACCAGTAGGTTAGCGCCGACGGTCAGTATGTCAATGGAAAACATGATGGAGCATAGTTGCACTGGCGCGTGCCCCCCTTCCCACGAAACACCTTTGCCCCTTTTTGCATTACCAAGTTATGCTCATAAGTTCCACTTTGGGTGAAATATTGCATTTATATTCTCTCTTCGCCGAGTAATGTGCTGCGCTTTTTATCAATTACGGTCATAATCATAATGTTCAAGGAATACCTACCGTAGTATGTCAGGAATTTTGTGAGATTGCTTAATGCGTCATCGTTTGAAAGAAAACTGACAGACGAGGTCGCTTGGAATGATTCACAAGGTGTGGCCGACCCAACAACACTATGCCTTAGAAACACAGTTTAAAGAAGTCCAAGAAAAAAATATGTCGATCGATAAGATAATCAGCATTACATACCTCCTACACATATTTGGTAGTGATTCCGAAGACTCAGGACGCGGCTTTGGTGGCCCAGCGGCTATCTGAAGAATTGGCGTTTTCTTGACTATCACAACATTTCCTCCCAAGCAATAGCAAAACGTCCTCCCTCTCACTCTAAGCCAAACAGCGCCGAGACTAGATCAGGAGTAGATAGACTTATCCCAACAGGAGTATGCGTTCGCTAGGCCCAAAACCTTCTGATGTCCGCGCCACAAGCACCACCGCCAAGCAACCCAAAGCCAAAAGCACCTGGCGCCCGCATCACAACCACCGGCGCCAAACACCCCAATGACACCAAGCATCAGATCTGTTGAAGACTAGTCCTCGCGGTTTTT